TTTGTTGCACTAATATGGTCATGCAAATAAACTCCGATTGGTCTTTCACTATCATTGTGTTTTCGGACTGGAGTTGAGGATTAGGCAGCAGGTCTCAAAGGTCCAACTGTAATAACCGTGTCACCTTTATTCAAAGGTGTTGCTAGGCATTATGCAACAGACATCTGTTTACATTGAGCTTTTACTGCAGTGGCGTTGTGTTACCATGACAACAAGTGTATGAATCAATGCAGTCATGCTGAAGTTTTAATTAAAGATCACCTTGCATGGTCATATGCAAATAATTTCAAAGAACATACTCCAGGAATGGACTGCAGTCTCCAAACTGTCCCTAACAATGCCTCTTTAGATTTCTCAATTTGGTTCATCAGCCAAATTTCAATTCCGTTGTCCAGAGATGGTCAGCTTTGTTTCACATCAGAATAAATGGTCTCATTGTGTCCTGTGCTTTCTCTTCTCAGCTACCGGGGAAGTGAAAGAAATCTTTGCGAAGGCCCGGAATGGAGAATATCGGCTCATCAAAGTAGTGATAGAAAATGGTGAGATGACTGTTTTACACACAAGAGTACAAACATTTATTAAACAGCTTTTAAAAATAAACTTATTGTAATAAGAAATATTCAGGGAAAAAAACAGCACAGTTATCCGTGTGTGTTTTTCTCAATTTTTGATTTTAAAATGGGCATGGGCTTTAAATTTAGAACCTTATGATATTTTATTTGCAAAACATCAGCTTCCCTTAAAACAGAATTGCTTAATTAATTAGTTTATTATTTTACCAGAATATTACATTCACAAGTTAGGAATAGCAATAAAAATAAAAACGTATATATTGTGTTCTGTAACACTTATATTAAGATAACGTCAAAAACCTTTCAAACATGAGAACACAAAACAAGAAACAAGTCAAATGTTTCCTTTTTTTAAAATGTATTCATTTTTTAGATATGTTCACTCTGTATTATAGTTGTTGCTTTCTTGTTTGTTTGTTTATCTCACATCAAACTAAAACCATAAACATCTTTAGAAACATTAGAAATAAAATAAACTTTTACGAATAATGTATATATATATACACACACTCAGCTACTTCCCAAGACAACATTTCTCATTTTCATTTAGTTTATCTTGATGAAGCTAAAACTGAAAAAATAATGAAAACACATAACAAGCACATGTCAAACATATAGACATATTAAAAAAATAATAAAAAATGACAAAAACAAATCAAAATTACTAAAACTTTAACTACAATGTTAAACTAAAAGTAAAAATGAATTCAAAATATTAATAAAAATTAACAGTATCTCACATTTTCTGAACTGCTAAATAATATTCTTTATTTTTTGTACTGTATTTGACTAAACTAAATACAATAAAACAAAAAATGATTGTCAATGTATGACGAAAGAATCATATCACGCTTTCCTTTCTTCTGTTGTGTTCCTGTAGAGAAGTTAGTTCTTGGTGGAAGTAAACGGGCTGCCAAGAAATGGGACCAGGAATGGGACAGCTGTGTTCTCCCTCTCGTGGGGGATGACATGCCCTCATACCTTCTCTACAGGTTGGATACCACCAACAACCAGGGTTATGAGTGGATCTTTCTGGCCTGGTCTCCGGATCACTCTCCAGTGAGTTTGTTTGCATGCTGTCACATCTTCTTTCAGCTTGTACGAGGCCAAAGGACATCATGAGATGACATTGCTCAGTGCATTTTAATCCATCCACTCCATATATAGTATCCCTGGTTTAAAGCTCTTTAAAAATATCGGGTTGCCAGTTAAGCCTGTCCATATCAAAACAGGCTATAATAAGAGGTTTTTGTACTACTATGTGGATATGATCATCAAGGATATTGTACCATTGTTATAACAAATTAATGTATCTTAAGTGAGTGGATCTTAACTGTGGAGATCCCCTTGTAATGTGATCTTTTACCAAAAGATAAAGTATCAGGTAAGCTCATATAATGGAGACTTTGTTATTTCAAGCAAAAGAGTTTGACATGAATCTACTTCCTCAGTATTTTATTTTTATTTTTATGAAAAGCACGGTTGACCTGATACAGAAAACGGACAGTTGTGGTTCTGTGCTACACATTTGCAATTCTAATTTTCTCCCTCAATGTTCAACAACCAGAGGGAAACTAAAATGGCTAGAGTCCCAATCGCACCCAAATCAGTCGTTCATTCACGCTGATCTAAAGCCAGCTCAAATTGCTCAAACCAAGAGCTTTCCTATAACAAAGCAACTTTAAAAATGAAATCTAGAAATTCCTCCTGGTTGGATTCAAAAAGTTCACCCAAAAAATTAACATTTGCTGACAATTTTATTCACCCTCAAACCATACAGGACGTATACGAGTTTGTTTCTTCTTTGGAATTGAATTTATTATTACATCACTTGCACATTACATCACAATAATCCACACGACTCCAGTCCATTAATTAATGTCTTGTGAAGTGAAAAGCACAAACAAATCCATCATTAAAGGGGTCACATAATGCGATTTCAATTTTTCCTTTCTCTTTGGAGTGTTACAAG